CGTTACACCTATCTGATCACAGCTCCATTAGAACCCATTTAAACTCACACACAAATTTACCAGACTCCATTAGAAACATACTAGTAGAAAACACAAATATATTAACTTCATTTACCCGTAAAAAAAAGAAAATAATTGAAGCTTTAATAATAAAAAAGAAAAAAACAACTCTTAACAATATTAACTATGAACAAGGCCATAATGTGCTAACTGTATTCGGAAATTAAAAACATCTCTATAACACACTAAAACATACATATAATGCACACACTCAATTAAGCTGAAAAATCGAATCATCCTTGATAATGGCTGAAGGTATAGCCGAAAGCGCTCGGGACTATAAAACATTTGGACAGTTTTTACACACTCTTTGTGCAGAAAAGAAAGCTCTTGATCGAACACAAGAAAAATTAAGTAAAAAGCTTAACCGTAGTAACTTGTCTGTCGTTTTTAATGAAACATGCATAAACTAAGGATTGCTGCCTAAATATATATATATATATATATATATATATATATATCTTAGTGAATATATATATATATATATATATATAATGAATATATATATATATATATATATATATATTAGTGAATATATATATATATATATATATATATATATATATATATATATACTATACTATGAATTAGCTCCTTATTCTCATTATTGGAAGTTGAATGGGTTTTGGTGGGTCAAACCCCATTATTAAATTGATATTTCAAGTGTCGATCAGCCATACTGTGGAAAAGTGAAATATGTTATTTGTGATTAGCCGAGAGACAGGGCCTGAGAGATTAAAAATTGGTAAATAGTGACCAAGCACTGATGTCTACGTGTGGCCATAAAATAGGTTCCAGGTAAAAAAGAAGATAGACTTTCATATATATGTTTTTTCTTTAGATATATATGTTTTTTTTTTGGTGGTGGGAGGATTTTTCCCCATACTCATGACTACAGTTATGGCCTATAATGTACCATAAGAATATTGGTATATACGGTATACTCATGGCATAATTTCAACCTGACCTTACATTCCACTCTTACTTCCACCCACTCTCTATAGCTTGCAAAGATTGTGTTACTACACTGCGAGACGTTCAAAGTATAAGAGAGACTGGGAAAGTCAGTTAGGAGAGAAAAACATTTACACTATTCATATTAGTGCTATTGCCTTCATCTTTCTTGTTTCGGCTTTTCTGTCGTCCAGGGTATGACCATAAACTACACCTGGTAGCAAGGCTTCTTAACTGTTGTTATTCCCAGGTCTACCCTGACCCGGGGTGGTAACACCTGTTAGGGTCCCACCTATGAGCAAATAGCAAACTCCCAAACAAAAATCAACAGTACATTATTATAATAAAATAAGCAACAGTACATTTTTATAATAAAATTACCAACAATATATTTTATAATCTACAAACTATATGTCTAAAAAAGCATACCTTTACTCTGAAAGCATAAAATTACGTACAAAATATTTAGATTTCGGTATTAAATAACCCATAGCTGTGTCGATATTCCATTAAACAAAATGAACCAAAAATCGGCTTTCGAGTCCTGGGTATGATGATAAACTACATCCGGCAGCAATGCCTCTGATCGGGAGATAGGAAGTTTTGAAGACGCTGAACAAAACTCTTAATTGTTGTTGATTCCAGGTTCACCGAGACCCGGGATGGTAGTACTTGTTGGGGTCCCAGCTTCAGGCAAATAGTGTACCCCCAAGCAAAAACACTATGAAATTATAAAAAATAAATTTTTAGAGTAAAAATACCAACGATACATTTTTATATATATATGAAAAAAATGACCAACAATACATTTTATCTGTAGTTGAATATGTACGATTCATCGGCAAATAGAAGCTTTCCTCATTAAACATTAGAAATTATACTGAATTCAAAAATCGTTCCATTGCCCGTTTTTTTCGTTCATTTTAGTAAAAATACCAACGATACATTTTCACAACCATATATATATAGGCTATTAAAAAAATGACTGCAACAAATAAATGTTTTGATCAATAGGATATTAAGCTTTTTATTTTATCTGTAAATTGGCAAAACAACCAACCGGGTTGTTCTACAAAGCAGCACTACTTGGATAGAAGCTGTGCGAATCTAACTTATTTTATTACAGGAACACAATAAGGGACGATTCGTTGCGTACGTGGAACATGGCGGGTCAAGTAGTGTCAGCATTTGATTAAATTAGTTCATTAGAACATGGCCAGGCACGAGGCGTTTAGCGTTTTCTGGTGGAACAGGAGAAAATAAACTACAATAGACGCCGAGGGACGTTCAGATATATAGAAAAAATACATTGTTGGTTTAAAGACAGGGTAGAGAAAAAACAACGACGAAACATTGGATGAGATTTGATTAATAAATAGGTTTTCATTTTTTTATGGCATGAGGAGTCTTTAGTTTTAAAGAAAATTCAAAATGGTCGCCTTAGATTACATCAGTGTACATTTTGATATTTCTTTAATCAAAATAG